AAGAAAAGGACGCAATCCTTCCTTTAGTTTGCTCATTCGCTTAATTAGTTACATCGAAGATCTAGACAGAAGGTCCTGTGTTCAATTCCCACAATGTTGATTTATTTTGACCCAACTATTTTTCGCGGTCTCTATGAAAGCCCATAAAAGGCCCATCAACATAGAAGTACCTGGCCCAGATTGACCAAACGAAAAGGACTAAACCAAACCAAGAATATTGACCAAACGAAAAGGACTAAACCAAACCAAGAATACCTATTCCCTTTAATAGTAGGATAATTCCTTTTTTAGTTTAGTAGCCCCAACACATTGAAGCCTATGGATCCTTCCTTTCAATATAGAAATCAACATAGAAGTACCTGGCCCAGATTGACCAAACGAAAAGGACTAAACCAAACCAAGAAAAGGATGCAATCCTTCCTTTAGTTTGCTCATTCGCTTAATTAGTTACATCGAAGATCTAGACAGAAGGTCCTGTGTTCAATTCCCACAATGTTGATTTATTTTGACCCAATTATTTTTCGCGGTCTCTATGAAAGCCCATAAAAGGCCCATCAACATAGAAGTACCTGGCCCAGATTGACCAAACGAAAAGGACTAAACCAAACCAAGAATACCTATTCACTTTGATAGTAGGATAATTCCTTTTTTAATTTAGTAGCCCCAACACATTGAAGCCTATGGATCCTTCCTTTCAATATAGAAATCAACATAGAAGTACCTGGCCCAGATTGACCAAACGAAAAGGACTAAACCAAACCAAGAAAAGGATGCAATCCTTCCTTTTAGTTTGCTCATTCGCTTAATTAGTTTCCTGTATTCAATCCCACAATGTTGATTTGTTTTGACCCAATTATTTTTCGCGGTCTCTATGAAAGCCCATAAAAGGCCCATCAACATAGAAGTACCTGGCCCAGATTGACCAAACGAAAAGGACTAAACCAAACCAAGAATACATATTCCCTTTAATAGTAGGTATAGATATAGATATAGATATATATATAGATAGGTATAGATAGATGAACTTGTGCGACAACCGTATTTTGGGTATTTTGAACTAAAATGGGTTACGTTCCAGCGCAAGTCTAAGGACCGTGGATGAATTTTTCTCTTTCCAAAATTCCTCTTCTTGCCGCGAGTGCCGATTTAAAAAAGAAACTGTGTCACCCAGGCCCTGTTTAAAAAAATACAAATGCCAAATATATTTCTCAATGTTGCCTTGACCATTAATAAGATTAATATAAAAATGTGTTCTCAGCCAGGCCGGGTTTTCACCCATACCAGCACCACCGCCACCGAAATGTGGTACGACCTGCCACACCACCGCCACCGCAACCACCAAACGCCGCACCACCACAACCACCAAACGCCGCACCTTGAGTCATGAGCTCCTCGTACCACCAGGGTTGCCGCTCGGGCATTCCACCATTGCGAGTTGCGACAACATATAGACGTTCTTGACCGGTAAGGGGCAAAACCCTCCACCCACCCCAAAGCGGCATGATTGAGCCTCATCGACCGGATCTGGGCAAGGAAGCTCCGGCAGCCATAAGCCATGTCGCAACCGCCCATCACACTTCTAGACAATGTCAGACATCAAGGACAGGAAGCCCCCTGACGGAAAAGCTCCCGGCACCTCCGGCCAACCCCCAAGCAATAATGCGAGAGTGAGCCACCAAATCCGCCCATTTGTCGCCGCGCTATGTACCTGCACCACAAAGAGGGGGCGGGGGGAGCCAAATCCACCACTGCATCGCCGCCACCTCCATTGGAGGATGCAACCGCCCGCAGCCAGCACCACCGGATCCCGGATCGGGCCGACCGCCGCCACCACACCGGCCAATGGAGTATATTTTCCCATTAAGAACAAACCTCCATATAGACTGGATCGAAACCTCTTTTCCAAATTCAAACCAGAAAACAATCAACCACAGCCTATCCTAATTACAATGCTTTTCGCCTTCACTAGCGCGTATTTAGCGTGCCTGCTTCTTTACTTGCAGGTTAAAGAGGAAGCCAGTTCAGAAAAGTCAGAACCAACATAGTTCCAGGACGAGAGAAAAATTCTGAACTATACGTACAGTTAACAGTTCCATCTTTGTAAGCTCTAGGCAGTGAACCAACAAATCAACCAACCAGGTTTGTAACTCAAGATCTTCAGCTCCAAACCAACGTGCGTAATATACTTCCAGCCCCGCATCATCGATGCCCGCAGGCCCCGGAATTTGTGGAATAATGTACATCAGCTCCGCCCGTTTACGCAAGGACTTTACATGTTCAGCGATGAGAGTGTGTAGTATGTGTATCTATCTATCTATATGGCTTGCAAAAAACTGCTCTCTACATGATCATCAGTGTTCGCCGCAGAATCCAAGACTGCGACATGTTGTGTAACTCGACGATGGAGCCTGTGACATCTGCCTTTCGACAACTTGTCCGCATGGTCTTGTGCTGCAAGGTCGTCAGTGCTGTCGGCAGCAGTTCCTTAGGAGAGGCATCGTTTGGGTTCCACCCTGGAGATAACAAGGCATTTGGTTATCAGACATAGGCCACACACGTCCACGCTTTTTCCAGACATATACCTAGCTGCTTGTTGATCAGCGTCACATCAGGAATCCTCTTGTTGCTGTCGTCGTATCCTTCGCCCAAAGACTGTTCTGTGCTCGCCTCAATCAAAGGATCCTCCAGCAGTGGCTCTCCTGGTACATTTTGATATCAGACCCTACTAGCCAGGGGAGAATAACATAAGCCAGACATGACCATGCTATTTGCAGAGTGATATACCTAGCTGCTTTTTGTTGATCGGGGTCACGCCTGGAATCCTCTTGTCGTCGCTGCCGTCATATCCTTTGCCCAAGAACTGCTCTGCGCTCGCCTCAATCAAAGGTGCCTGCAGATGAATACAGAGAGAGGTTCAGAAGAGACGCATGTAGCAGAAGACATAGTTGATGGGCTGTGAAAAGTGGCATACACATGTCATCATTTCAGTAAATTCCCTAGCAGTGAATGTGCTCGGACCCCCAACAGTGGAGATGTGACCTACTAGCTGCTCTATGATTAGAGTAACATCAAGAATCCTGTCGTTGTATCCTTCACCATAGAGTCGTTTGGAACTCATAGCAATCAAAGGTTGCTCTCCTGGGACATGACCATGTGCCTGCAGATGAATGCAGTGAGAGATTCAGGAAAGACAAAGGTAGCAGAAGTTGATGTGCTGTCAAAAGTGGCTTATGTCTGTTATCATTTTAGCAAATTCCATAGCAGTGGCTATGTTGGGATTCCACACAATGGAGATAGGAGAATGGCTCGAGCAGGTTTCCTTCGATAAAAAATAAAACAGTACAGTTCAGTCCCACTGATTCAAGTAACCACTAACATCAGAAAAAATAAACCGAAGATAAAACAGAGAGGGCATACAATCATCAAAAGAAGAGCTGCATCAATGGCTTCCTTGATGCAAACATAAGTTCTCTGAGAATTCCCGCCATCAGCAAGCTTCCAGGTCTCTCTGCGGAGGAGATTCTGAAAATATCGGGCGGCACCATATATCCTGTGAGAAGACTGAACAGTGTACAATGAAGGTATTAATTCTCAGCAGCAAGGAACAGGTTTACATACTTTATTGAAGCAAGCCAAAACCCGTGGAACGCCCTCCCTGGGACCATCAGTGTCAGGAATGAAGTCCATCATTGGTCCAGTCCAATTGAAAGGCCTCACAACCGTGAATTCAAAATCATTTTCTAAATCCTCAGCTGGTGGAAACTCAAAACATCCACCGTTAGGAGAAGAAATTAAGTGTTAGTAATGGCAACATAGACACAACTTACTCCACTCACAGAAAATAAGCGGCGTCACACATGAGTAGGATCGCCTCTGCTTCACAATTGGACCAAAGATGTAGGGTGACTCGCCAACTTTCAGCTCGAAAAAATCAGTTTCCTGTTAAAAAGAGATAATTATTGTAAGCTAAAAGAGATGACAGCAGCCCTCAAAGGGGTAGCCCAGGAAATTGCCAAAAAAAGGGACAGACTACAAAAATTAGTAAATGAGCAAGCAAAAGAAAACCAAATACAAATAGCCGTAGTCAAACTCCACTCTTCCTCAAGGATTAAGACATTCCACAATCTTCATGCCCACCAGCATTACAAGACAATATCCGAGTGTGAACCAACAACCAACAAAGAGTCAACTAAAAAATTAATTCCCAAGTTGGCTCAACACCAAGTCGACTCTATTGCAATCCGAGTAGGAGCCAACATCTGCAACTCTAACTGTAGCTCGAGCGAAATAGACAGTACTGAGATGAGCCAATCTTAGTCTAGATTGCTCAAACTCGACGCATTTGCACGATACTATGAACCAACAAAACCTTTATACAAGGATTGTACTGCATAGACAGATAATTGCAGTTGAACATCATAATCTCGCTACCTGCACCACATCCATCCCAACCCAATCCAATCTGTTTGTTTATTCAACCAACCAAAAAACGTGAACCAACTTCAGACTTCAGATACTGCCACAATTATCTACAAACATCACTTAGTGACATACACAAAATGTACATATTCACAGCAGGGGATGCAGTCACCTTATGGTGGGGATGATCCTTGGCGATGAAGCGGCCGATGATCTTGCCACATATCTCAGAGGTAAAGTAGAACAGAAGCTTAATGTTCTCTGAGCAATAGCTGACCTGCACAGCACAAAGACATTCAGCTCCACGAAACGTCAACAGGCCAGAATAATTGGGGGAATCCAGAGGATAGATGGCAGATTGGGTACCACTGGGAGAGCGTCAATGAAGTTGTAGTAGATGGCATCGAGCAGCTGCATGTTGTAGTCCGCCGGCACGCATATCATCACCTGCACAGATAGCAAAACAATCATCAAAAGCTTGTCAAAATTTCAAGAATGAGGCTTTCAAAACAGACAAAAAGTAACAAAACATATAATGGTCGTTTCAATGCCATACCTTTGTCGTCATTCCAATCCAATGGTATGGCATCACATGGGACTCAAAAAACCAAGCTGAAGAGGTATCCTTGTTCTTCTGTCTTTCTTGATTATTCTCATCTTTATCACTCGGAGGGTCCTCATCCCGACCACCCTTACTGCGATCATCTGGGTTTACAGAAGAATGTTTGATGTGCTTTGCAGACTGCTCTTGCTTATGAATTTTTTTATGGTCTTTATTTGACAAAAGAACCACAAAAGTTAGCAAAGCATCAAAAGTTGGAATTCCTGGTATTAGGTCCTTGCGTAGCTCTTGGTAAAACCTTTCACATTCTGCAGCAAACTGTACCCTTCCTTTTCTGCATCTCTCAGAGTAATTGCTCCAGTCGTTGAAATGAGAAGATATATTCCGATATGTCTCATCTTTCTTGACTGAAGCATCTAATACAGCACACAGATTACCTTCCTGAAAGTTTGTGACGTGTAGCTTGAATAGGATTGGAAATCGCATTGGTTCGGAAATGGTGACCACGTTGCGGCACGAGGCTTTGATTATTTGTTTACGAGTTGCATGAGCAAGATCTACCAATACTTTGTAGGTATCCAGCTGCCCATCAAAACCGGTAATCAATTCCCTGAAGTCCACCCCAATGTCTTTATAACTACCGTCGAAGTCAAGCCTTTCAACATTGTACTTCTCTTCCTGTTGTTTTTCAACTCCTGGCAAAATTGCATCTTTGAAAACATGCCAAACAACATTTGCAGAGAAGCCAAGCTTATACATCGAGCTTGCATCATACAATAACTTAAGCTCCCTATGCAAATGTGTGTGATCTTCTATGTCAGGAGGTGGAATCATGTTGATGATGAAATAGCTTGGTGTGGTTGTTAACTCCAGAATTGCATGAACAAAATCAATAGAGCCGGTAATTTGGACCTCCTTCACAAAATTAGTGCCTCCTTCTTCGTTTGATTTTTGCATCAGCAGCCTTCTCACACTGACCCCTAATGAGTGGTACGATCTTGCCATTTTGGTTGGATTTTTGAATAGTTGGAAATCAAGTTGAGGGGCACTCTACAGAGTATGAAAATCGGTGTTACAATCTACACACGCATTGTGATAATAAATAAAGAAAAAGAATGTAGCCATTTCGTGTTAAAATGCTCACCGCCCACGGAGGTGGCTCACGGACAGTAGCCATTTGACGGAGGGGAGCAGAGGCCTAGATCCAATCTAATCAAGAGGTCCTGGAGTAACACTTTCTTCAATGGTGAATCTTCGAGATATTTAGTGCCACTGCAGTAGAGAGTGAGCGCACATATCAAGTTCAGAAATATTGAGCAAAGAGTAGGGCATATAGCAGATATGACACTAGTATCCAGCCTGCACGAACACACATAGGGCCAGAAGGGTTTTTTCAGACGGAGACATCATAGAATAGGTATGGCTGGGTGAAATATGGATGAAATATCTGAAGAAAACATTCCTGATTTTTTAGGAGAATGCACGCAACAATTTAGAACTAAGTAAATGACGTTCCAAGAAAAGAACTTCAAACAAAATCTCAGGGTAACTTCAGAATTTGTCATTGAAGTCATAGTGATCAACTAATGCAAAGATGGTTTTAGAATAGAATATGAAAGAGGCTAGTAAACGCAACATGTTTACTTGTTTGGGGAGCTTTTATGCAATGTATTTTTAATTGAAGACAAATAATTTGCTCAGGTAAGAAGTTTCAGATAAACGCCCTATGATTTCAATGTGCGGGCCTAGATATGTAATGCATCCACAATTCCACATGGCAGAGTACATATCTACAATGATATTCTTTTTCTGCAAGGGAACAAATTGGTGGGTTGACTACAAACAAGTTGTCAGAAACACTGAGCAAAGGGTGGAGCATGCAGCACATATGGCACATATGTACATATCTACTAAAGAAATATCGACAGCAAGTAACTGATTACCTGGCCAGATGCATGCAATCAGATCAAGAGGTTTCTGAAATAATAGGCATGACCGGGTTATCCTACTTCATATATATAATGCAAACGTAATATGGTGATGACATATTTGTAGAAAACGTTCCTGATTTCTGAGGAGAAGGCATGGCAACAATTCAGAACTAAAGTAGTAAATCTCAGGATAACTTAGGAGTTCATCATTGAAGTCACAGTGGTTAACCAATGCAAATCTGGCTTTGGAATAGAATAGGTAACAGGCCAGTAAAAGGCCAACAATAGTACTATCCACATTTGCCATGTGGATCAGAGGAAGCAATTTCACCAAAATTTGCAATTGAAAATCAGTCACAGGTCAACAATAGCATCCCCATTTTTCAGACATGGCGAAAATCACAGGAATGGATCGGTGAGCCGGCCCAAATGTTGGGGAATTCGATCGCAGATAAATCATCACAAACAATTAATTTCCGGGCAAATCATGGAGTAGCTGGTCACGCACAGGAACACATACGGGTAGGGTTTTCGATGATTATTACCTCCAGCCGTGCCCGTGATGGCCGCGGACGTGGAACAGGAGGAGGTCAGGAGGCGGGCGTCCAACAGGACGCCAGGAGCAGGTGGCCGGTCGGACTTGGCGCCCGTCGAACGTGCAGGAGGCCGGCGGCTTGGTCGGAGTGGAGCGGGCCGTCGTGGAACTCGAGGAGGCCGGTGTTGTTGGCAGGCGCCGAGCAGGGTGGCGCGGCCGGCGGGCGGGAGGAGGACGCGGCCGTCCGGCGCCGGCGAGGGGCTTCGCGGCCGGCGGGGTGGTCGAGGCCGGCGAGGTGGCCTGGGGTTTAACGGAGGTTCTAGGCCGGCCGCGCCGCCTTGGTCGTACGGACTGGACCCCGAGTCGCGTCGGGTCGAGCCGAGCCGGCTCGTGCGCGTGCTGCCACACTGGAACAGGGGAATGGGATTAGCCGGTGACAGGAGCAGAGGGATGAATGGGAAAAATAAAGACCAAAGTTTCCAGATGCTCTGCTTTTCTCAATTATATGTTTAAATGAACTACTAGCTTATTAATTAACCCCTGTTTTTTCAATCAAAACTACTACTACTACTAATGAGGCACTTTGACCAAAATGCAAAAAAAAAAAAAAAGACGCATCATATACACGGTGCAATAGAATTGGCGGGAGTATATTATGACAGGATCAGTCACCTGGGCAAACCATACCTTCTACAGCTTGTCCTGCAGCAGTACCTTGACCAACTCCAGGTCCAATAGCTGAGAAGGTTTTCTATTCCATTGAAAGCTGAGACGTGTCTGCTGGCCCGTAAGGCCCAGCCAGCCGACTGATTTTTTGTTTAGAAAAAAAAAACTGAAACAACTTACGGGAGGGCATAGGAAACAGGACGAGCTCGATCGCCTGCTTCATCCCTTGCCGGAAAAGTAGGATTCTTAAAAAAAACTGAAACAACTTTTTTTTTGAGAAACAAAACTGAAACAACTGAGGGGCTTGATCACAACGTACGTGTGAAGGCCCAAGTGGAGGGACGCAGGCCCAACTCTCAGCTGATACAAACCTTTTTTAATAAATGATACGAAGCTTTGCTCTACAAATTAGTACCACCTCATGTATTTCACATAATGTAGGATCAAATGCGGGACGAAACCAAGAATATCACCTTGCTTTAATAGTAGGTATAGATTAGCCTGAGACAAAGACAACAAAAAGAAACAATGGGCACTTATGAAATACAAGTACTCCCTCCGTCCGAAAATACTTGTCATCAAAATGAATAAAAAGAGATGTATCTAGAACTAAAATACATCTAGATATAGATGTTTTTATTTATTTTGATGACAAGTATTTCCGGACGGAGGGCCAAGCTAGAAATGGGTACAAGACAAATGGAAATGCTTACATATGGGCATATCCAACGAGGACCCTCAAACCTCCCGCATGCGGTACCCCACCTGGCCTAGACTGTCAACTGCCGCTTGCCAGTCACCACTACAAAACATTGTTCCATGAAGTTTTTCATGGTAAATTAGTTTCCACGTGATACTTTCTCTCTTTATAACATGAGAATGCATGGGGTGAACATAAGCATACAAGAAATTAAGCAGCTACAGTTAATTAATAGACAAATGATAGAAACTAGCTAAACAACCACACAACATACGCAATGTACTGGTACAACAGATAGAAAATCGGCTTTCACATTTCGGCATAATTAAAGGTATATACCCACTAGCATAAATAGTAGAGATGCATTATCTGAACGAGATGAACCTAGTAAGGATTTGATCAAGAAAGAGCCATGACGTGGATGATAATTAAGGCAGTAAGAAAAAAAATAGTTTGTTACCCGTTGGAAAAGGTGTCCAACTTCTTCACATTCCGGAGAGTGAATCAAATCCTAGTAGGGATATCTTGCAACTGCTTTTCAAGATCTCAGTAGTTGACCAGGTTTTCTGTTCTCATATAAGACGGATAAAACATAATGGTAACATGTGTGGTACATAAAATCACCTAAAGAATGGCAGTCCATGCATAATTATTTTCAATGCAAATAGCCACAAAATTCTCATATGTTAACCAGAAATACATGAATCAGAAATATTTGTTGAAAAGTGAGTTACCTTTGATTTCCTTAAAGGTTTTCTGGAATTATATCTCATAGGGCCAAATAAGAACAAGTTTACATGTTGTGCGTCATGTAAATTACATAGCGTCTAAAAACCACCAACTTCAACTTGTGACAAACAGAACCCATCAATAAGCACTTCTTAACATTTGATGAGAAGAAACAAAAAAAAAGTCATGAAGCGTTTTCCAATATTTGGGCATACAAAATTACATGATTAGTCCACTCCATAGAAGTGGCGCTGAATATTTACAAAAAACAGCAGGAGGTTAAACCAGTGAAAAACAGAGAGCACCAGAAAAAAATTATGAACAATATTGTGTTTATTCACACCCGAGCATGCAACATTAATTACACGCACCAAATATTATTTATAAAAAAACAGAAAAATAAAAACCAGATGCTTTTGTAGCACCATGGATATGAACAATGCACGACACGCCGTTGCAAAAGAAATTTGCAAAACTAAAGTAGCTTGGCCGATATTATAATTGATTTACTAAATATAATCAATTTCAAATGTAGGGAGATATTAGATATCCGCGCTAGCTTCTTTTTTCCATCTGACCCTTTACTTTTTTTTTCATCTGACTTTGTTTTTTCTCTGATCAAATGAAAGAAGGGCTGCCTTTTGTTCTAAAAGAAAGAAAGAAAGAAAGAACATGAATGTTTATTGATCCTTCCTATGGACCGATGCCAAAGTCCCCTGCGTCAAAAGGGTGAGATCGGAAACATGGAAGAACGGCGTTGCTCCCGTCCATCGCCGTCGGGCCGTCGGTAAAGCTGTGACGGCCACCGTCGCACGAGTCGCCGCCGTTGTATAGCGTAGGAGCACATGCGTATAGATCGGATTGCCGATGGATCGAACTTGGATGAAACTAGTTGTAAGAACAATATTGTATTATATACCTGCAGACTGAGGTCGAGTTTGCCTGTTGGGCTGGGCAGGCGAGATCATTCGATCGATCGATCGAGAAGACTTCGATCCCCGTTGGCGCGGCACGGCGCCGATCCATGGATCGTCGAGCGATCGGATACATGCGTCCATGGATCGGCGACGTGCCGGCGCGGGGGCCTGGCTTCACGAGAAGCCACGGTGCCGGCCGGCGACGAGAACGGTAGGGCGGAGGCGAAGACGGCGCCCGCACGGGGGTGGGTTCGGTGCTGTTGGAACCCTAAGACTAAGACCCCGTTCCGTCCAATATTTGCTATACTGCGCTGGGCCACATGGGCCTAGATGACGGCACAAAGAAAAACGTATGTACCCCTCAAAGAAAATTCCAAAAACGTATGTGACAAAAAAAAAGTATGTTTTCTCAAAAATAATTTAAAAGAATACATTTTGAGCTCTAAAATGGGTAGAACTTATATACTATACCCGACAATATTTTTTAGTTAACCAAGACCAATGTTGTGTACTCCCCTCGATCCATATAACTTGTAGTAGTTTTGGTACAACTTCAATACAAAGTTGTACTCTAAAGTTGCGACAAGAGTAATATGGATTGAAGGGAGTATATACTTTTTGAAATTTTTATCTAATTTTTTTGCATAAACTTGATCGAACAATTATGGAAGTTTACAAAACCATTCTTTTATGTGATTC